GGGGGGGGGGGGGCGCAACCCAATCACATTGCACTGGTAAAATACGGGACGAGGTGCATATACTATAAAAATCGTGCGCTTAATCCGGTACTACCCTAAAGCACACACACACACAAACTAAACAACACATTTGTTACACACCGTTATGTGTGCCGTGATGAGTGCCGACTTGTGGTTGCTCTGCTAAGCATTGGTAGATATCTGGAGCACCATCTGGAGTCCCCCCCCCTTCCCCCCGGGGTTGGTATCGCTAATCGTACATTGCAAAATAAAGGATAAATTTTTATTTTTTTTAATTGAAATAATGTCCCTTTTTTTTTTTTTTTAACTGCAAAGGCTTTAGAGGAAGGGAGTTAAGTCACAAAAACTATTTAAAATGGGTTTAACTGTTTTACTTTTCTTGAGCAGGACGGACACCATACGTTGGGAATTTTAATTATTATTACCGGTAAAGGTATTGATTATTACGATGAAGATCACATAAGTTCAAATTTAAAAAAAATAAAAATGGATCCAATAAGGCTGCAGCTATTCGGACCAGGGTATCAGAAGTGAGAGTTTGGGTTTATTAAAAAATATTAAAAATATTATTGTAGGGTTTGTAAGGCAAAATTAGGTATCAAATGAAAGATAATTGAATGGAGTATATTTTTGTAAACTTACTTCTTCAGTTTAACTAAAATAAACTACCAAAAATGACATCAGAATAGCATTTAGTTTATAGGGACCCGGGTCCAAATAGCGGCTATGCGTACCCGTGTCCCTTTAGACTAAATGCTATTCGAATGACCTTTGTGATAGTTTATTTTAGTTAAACTGAAGAAGTAAGTTGACAAACATATAATATAGTCCATTCAATTATCTGTAAGAGTATCTTGGTGTCTGGGACTTGTCCTGCTATTTAATGCTGAGGATATTTTTTAGGCTCGTGTGAAAGTGAAAGTCAGGGATGTCATTTGAGTAGGGCATCCCCCCCCCCCNATTTGACTGTAGCTGTGCTGCCTCTCATGGTCCATACATTCTTCTGACATTTGACTGTAGCTGTGCTGCCTCTCATGGTCCATACATTCTTCTGACATTTGACTGTAGCTGTGCTGCCTCTCATGGTCCATACATTCTTCTGATATTTGACTGTAGCTGTGCTGCCTCTCATGGTCCATACATTCTTCTGACATTTGACTGTAGCTGTGCTGCCTCTCATGGTCCATACATTCTTCTGACATTTGACTGTAGCTGTGCTGCCTCTCATGGTCCATACATTCTTCTGATATTTGACTGTAGCTGTGCTGCCTCTCATGGTCCATACATTCTTCTGACATTTGACTGTAGCTGTGCTGCCTCTCATGGTCCATACATTCTTCTGACATTTGACTGTAGCTGTGCTGCCTCTCATGGTCCATACATTCTTCTGATATTTGACTGTAGCTGTGCTGCCTCTCATGGTCCATACATTCTTCTGACATTTGACTGTAGCTGTGCTGCTTCTCATGGTCCATACATTCTCTTGACATTTGACTGTAGCTGTGCTGCCTCTCGAAATTTGAAGGTTCGCCCCGTCATTGATGGCGACGTTGAAATAAATAAATCAATGCGGTTTTATGACAGCGTGGTGCCCAGGTAGGAGGCTGTGTGACAGCGTGGTGCCAATGAAAGAGGCTGTGTGACAGCGTGGTGACAAGGTAAGAGGCTGTGTGACAGCGTAGTGCCTATGTAAGAAGCGGTGTGACAGTGTGGTGCCCAGGTAAGAGGCTGTGTGACAGCGTAGAGCCCAGGAAAGAGGCTGTGTGACAGCGTGGTGCCAAGGTATGAGAATGTGTAAACCACTTTGAGCCATTACGCCAATGACTTAAACTTGAATGTTGGGGGGTCACTGACTGTAATTTTTTCCAGGAGGTACATTTAGATGGACGTAAGGGAAATAGAGAACATAACCCTTACATTTCCATGGCCTATCGATCCAATGCAACTATTCTTGTTTAAGTACGGTAACTGGTAGCCTACTGTTAACTCTACTTCATTTCAACACTTAAATACTTTTTACTTTTACTAAGCTGACTAGTTTTAAAATGGTATTGTTGTATATATATACTTTATCATGTTCAGACTCATCTTTCTAGTTCCGGTAGAATCAACTACCAATTACGAGCTGAGCTTCATCAGCTGTACAAACGATTGTTACACATTATTCGTTATTAACTGATTGACTACACAAAGAGTCAGAAATAATTTACTAAATTAATATGTATTTTAACTGTCCGGTCAAACTAACGGAAAAGACTTTGAACTTGTTTAAAGGCAATTTAGAAAGAAATCTTGTCATGCTTGGATTTTTAAATTTTAAATAATTATTAGTTTAGCTACTAGTATCATTGACCATCATTTTTATAATATTATTTTTTTCATGAACAATCTCTGAAACCGAAGTAGTTAAATAGTTAAAGTATTTTGAACTTCACGTAAATTGTACAAATTTGTACTACAAATGTACAATTTCAGAATAGTACGCTTTACATGGGTTTTATTCGGGCATTAATAAATGAATGCATAAATGGAGGGTCTCAAAAGAAATCCCCATCTTTTTTTCCCCTCTAAATTTAAATAAAACTGAACATAAAATGTACCCTTAGGTGGAAAAGCTAATATATATTTGAGAACCTCTGCTTTCATTTAATCGCGGTCAAATGATCTTACCAATAACTTTCAATATGCATACGTTTTTTTAAAAAATCGGTACCGGAAAATTAACGGAAGGATTCATTAATATGTGTTTAAATCGTGTGCGTTTATTTATATTGTTCTCTTGTGCGTGGGAATTTTTGCCTACCGTACCAATGAAATGAAGTCCTCCTGTAAATAAAAAGATAAGCATCAGTTACATGCATTGCTTTGTTAGTAGCTCCACCATGCAAACACTCATCACAACACATTGGCAAACACAGTACAGATTCATCGATTCCTACCTACGGTGCTCGGGAGAATTCTTTTTTTCAATCGCAGGCAAGCATTCCTGTAACTACAGGGCATGGCAACTAAGCACAGGTTTGACGTTTTGCTGAACTGAAACAATGATCAAACGGCAATATCTATGTAATGGCTCTAAGCAGGCAATCCCAAGACTTGCTGAACTGAAACAATGATCAAACGGCAATATCTATGTAATGGCTCTAAGCAGGCAATCCCAAGACATGCAAACCGTTTGGCCATTCATCATGCAATATGGCTAATTGAAACACGTGTTGTCGAGGTGAGACCTCATCATGCATTGATGTACTCACAAACACAGAAGGTAACAATCTTGATTTACTCTACAAGGCTAAGTGATAAACACTCTAATTTACGCTACATTTCCATAGTGCTGAGTCCTTTTCCGTCATGGTGCATTACATTTTTTTAAAAATAATTTTTTGGGGTTTATTAATAAGACTTTATTTCAGACTGCAGAAAACAACAACTCAAAAGTGAGTGGAAAAATTAATGGGAAAATGTTTGTTTATCCATCTATTTTAAATCACCAGGACTGCCCCGTTTGTTAATCCATCTATTTTAAATCACCAGGACTGCCCCCCCCCAAAAAAAAAAAATCATCCCAAGTTTTTTGTTTTTTTAAATCTTTTAAAAGTCTTTGGTCTGGAGTCTGATAAAAGTCATAGATCAATAGTCTGATAAAAGTAATAGATCAATAGTCTGATAAAAGTAATAGATCAATAGTCTGATAAAAGTCACAAGTAAGGAGTCTGATAAGAGTCATAGGTCAAGAGTCTGATAAACGTTGTATGACATGAGTCTGAATGATTACGAGTCTGAAGACCTATCATCATCTATGTTAGTGTCCAGGCATTGAATTCATGGAAGGCCAGGGTAAATGAACACATACAAATATAATATTAATAACTAATTTAAGAACCGTTAGGCTCAGTTCAAAGATAAATCAAGATTGTTCCCACTTCTTCATTATACCCACAGATAGTGACAAACTACATATACAAAAGAAGATGTAATATAAATTTTTATTGGTTTATTTTTTTTCCCCCAACAAATGCCAAATTTGAAACAAGGGGAAGAAAAGAATTTTCTTTTTTTTTTAAAATAAAAGGTCCTGGAAGTTTATGGATAATAAATGATATCATATTTCTGTGGGGTCCAAAAATTAAAAAAAGGAAGTACTTCACAATATGATAATTAAAATGGACTCTGAGAAGCAATCATTATTACTTGGATAGCATTTATAATGTTGATGATAATAGGAAAATACTTTCAGTTAAATATAACCACCAAAATCGACCTGCAGTGAAAAGTTTTTCAACATGTCTTTAGGGAAACTGTTTCTCTGGCTATTGTAAAACTTAAAATGTCCCAGACAGTCGAGTTGTTTCCTTAACACCAAAGCAGTGTTGGACTCCAATAATATCATGTTGACGTTCTGTCTTTCTGTCATCATCGCCACTGGTTAAGAGACTGCATAAAACATGCACGTGGGTGGTGAACATCTCAATGTCTTTAGAGTCAGTTTCACTGTTTGTGCCGAGTCTAAATGTCAAAATGTCTTTGATGAACCATCAACTAAAATAGTGACAACAACAACAACAAAGTGAATAAAATTACACCAAATTTGACTGTGTAAACTGTGTAAGAAGATTGGAAGTGTTAAATACCACAAGTTTGTTATAGGAAAGATGCCATAACAACATGCCAATGCATTAAATGGAATAGCAAATGGTAAAATAGTAATAAAGCGTTAATAATACAATGCAAAATACATTCAGCTATTGAACAAACAAGGCATCAATTTTTTTCATTATGTTACAAGACAATTTCATCTAAGGAGCCAATACACAAAACTGTGTACCTATGTCTACAACAATAGCAATGGTACAGAACAGTGTAAGATCCAAGTCAAGTCAGGGACACGTCCTTGCCTATGTGTTTTTATTGGCATGCTTGTTCTTTGTGCAATGCATTCAAAATAATCAGGTGATTGACATTCCAAGTTAGATTAAGAGGACCAGGGCTAAAGCAGATCTAATGTTAGCTTCCAACACACACATGGATGTTATAAAAACACAGTGTTGTTATCATAGAGAAAAAAAAAAAAAAACAACCTTATATATAACAAGAAGGACTAGCTCCCACTTTCAGGTTGATTCATTATGTCACACATTTCAAAGCTTAATTGTAGTTCTAGAAGTTACAAATGTGGACTTTAAATAAAAAAACATTGTTTTTAACAAAAAGAAAAAAAAAAAAAAAAAACAACCTTATATATAACAAGAAGGACTAGCTCCCACTTTCAGGTTGATTCATTATGTCACACATTTCAAAGCTTAATTGTAGTTCTAGAAGTTACAAATGTGGACTTTAAAAAAAAAAAAACACTCATGGTATAGCTTCGGTAGCCGGTATATTAAAGAAATCATTTATTAATTTTTAAAAATACCCACCCTGAAAGCATATAGAAAAATGTGTGTCAAGAAATTGACTAAATACTAAATGCAAAAATGTTTAATAAATTCAATTTTTCATGTTTAAACAATGCCAACAATCCTGAAGCAGCTTTCCAAAATGCATGCAAAAAGAGAAGAAAAAAAAGCACAATATCAAGTCTCAATTTTGTCACCCCCCTCCAAAGTGTTGGTAAAAAAAAAAAAACCATCTTGGTGCATGCAGAATGAAATGAAAAAAAAACAACTTCCAAAACTATACTGAGAGAAGATGGCATATCTCTTGGGAAATTTAGTTTGGAACTTGTGACAAGCTGGTTAGTAGAAGAATTAACAAGAAATAACACATTCTTTCAATGTTGGATTTGTATCTTTATAGTGTAATTAAATATAGTCAGTTGTGGCAACTGTAACAAAATAGCATGGAAGACAATCATTTGATTTTTTTGTTTTTTTTTGTTGTTAAAGTTGTTTTTGACATACAAAGAATATTTTCACAATTTAAACACTTCCAGAATATGACTATTACTGTAAAGAGGAAAAAAATACATATGGTATTTAAAGTAATGGACAAATTTTAATTAATAACTTAGTAAATACTGTTGTACAAATGTATTTTTTCTCTCTCATAATTCCTTAGACTTTAGAGGTTTTCATGATAGGATAAGATGGATCATTATTTTTTAGATAAAATATATTTAAGGTAAAAATTAAAACTTAAGTTCTCACAGTCCCTTGAAAACTGTCATTCAAATATGTTAGCATTTTTTAACTTTAAATAATAGATTTTTCTTTTAACACATGCAATTTACTAACAAGAAATATGATTCTAATGTATATGTTCCCAGAACCGTTGCTGCTCTTTTAATAAAAACCTCATAAGTAAGAAATTATTGTTTAAAAAAAAATAATTTGAGGAAGAAAATAAGAAAGTTATAAGTAAACATTCCTTTAAAAAAATGTAATAAATTCAGCTGTTTTTTAAGCAAATGAGAATGAAAATTGTACAATACAGTGAATTATAACTGACCAAAAAAAATCATTGCAATACAACATCAGAACAAGTACAATGCTGATGTTGCAAAGAAAACAGTTCAAATACAGCCCTAAGATGGAATTGATGAATAAGTCAAATGTCATTGTAAAATATTTACATTGACAAAACTCTTTAGTCATGACTTTTAAAATACAATAAAATGATTCATAATATTTGGGTGCTGATGAAAATTTATTGAATTAAATTAGTTGATGTAAAATTATTAGTTTCAAGCTAGTAATAACAGAAAGTTGTCAAAGTATTTCCTTAAATAAATTTAAATTCAATTTGTTTCTTTTAATTGTTCCAAATATATATTTAAAAGAAAATTATTTGACACTTATACTTTTCTAAAATATCCCTTTAAAAAAAGTGCTTAAAGCTTACAGCAATGTTTTGAGAAAAATATGTAAGTATGAGATAACAAAAGATTTTAAATAAAATAATACATTTTAAATTCAAACAAAACATTCTTTGGTACTTGGACCGTACAATTGCTTACCTGTATCACAATATAATACAAATTTTAATGGTTACCCAAAGATGAAAGAATTCAAGTTCATATGAAGTTTTTAATTTTCAAATTTACCTTCAAATTTTAGGGTCTCCAAAAATATATTTCTGTGCTTTCTGGTTTTTGAAGTGAAACGTACACGGTAACAACCTAACATTGCTAATGAATTATATAACCGCTAAACAGCCATCTCTATAATATCTTTTAAAACACCACTCCATCATTGATTTTCAAATGAAGAAGAATAAAGACAAAACATATGAGGTATATTGTGGACTGATGTTGGTTTTTGCCTTCATGACAGACTAGATCAGGTGGACTAATGCATTGATCATACACAAAGGTAGTGATCTCTTATTTTTGTAAGCTCTTGAGTTTGTTTCAAAACATAAGTCAAACACTGCTTTTTGACATCATATTGCAAACTAAGAGAAGTCCATTCATTAATTGTTAGCACCATCAAGAAAAGTTTGACTACACATTCTAAATGGAAGCAAGTTACAGTACTGTAGTATCAATAGCACATCATTATTTCTGCATTTCATGAAATGACATTTTATCTTTAAGTGCTTTTTTTAAATTTAATATAAATAAAAATAAGATCTCTTTTACATCTAAAGTCAAATTTAATTTTTTGGTACCTAGCAGGATAGTTCATTGACAACACCAAACTGGCATGTAAATTAAATATCATCTGTGAGATGGTGTTTAGGTTTGACTGTGAATTTATTTCATTTACAGATATTGCTTTAATCTTTAAGTCTTTGAAAATTATTAATTAAAATTATTTTTTGAAATAAATTTTTAAAATTGGCTAATGTTTTCTGATTTCTAGGTACAGGCTGAATTCATTAAAATTTGACACACAGTATTCATTTCGCCAATACCTATTGCACTACTTAAATTCCCAAATAATGAGCTAAACTAAAAATTATGTATGATGCTATGAAGGAAGAAAGGGCTCCAGGCTCCTCGATAATTTTGATTATTTTTTCCCCTTTTTGCAAACAATAGTGCGTAAACAGTTGCATTACAATACAATAATAAAACATATATTAACATGTCACTAAATCATCTAGATATGTGTTCTTATGAACAGCCATCTTAAAAAAGAATTAAATGTTGACTATGCATTTTTTTCATATTTACATTCAAGTTTTTAACTTAATGTTACATCAGCAACAAACAAAAATGATATTCACTTTGCTTGAAAAGATCTCTTAGAATGTATTAAAGATTGAAATAAGTCAATGGAAAAAGGTATGTGCACTAAAATATCCACATGAGACAATCAAGAAAAAAGCTTAGGCGGAAATAAAGGTTAACAATGAAATACAAAGTGTAGGCAAGACCATTTTTGGCAAGCTTAGAGCAGCTTTTCTCGCAACGGCTTTTAGATTAATCAGCCCAGAGTAATTTTTTAAGGTTAAAAACTTGATGGTATTATAATATCAAGTGGAACAAATGTGTGTGTTGTGTCCATAGTTCTCAGCTGCAACTAGGATGAGAAGAAGCTACTCTAGTTATGACACTAACCTTAAGAAATTATAGTAACTAAAATGTTTAATAACAAAACTATTCTTAACAAAGTCATAAAAAAATTAATTTACAACACTATCCTCAACAATATAATAAAATATTTACTTAGGACACTACCCTTAACAAAATAACTATAACGTTTAGTTAAGAAACTAGTATTTTTACAATGCAACTATAATGAAAATAACCTTATAGGCTAGAGTGAGTATACTTAAACTATTCCTATACATCAGATCACTTAACAGGTTGCAGTGTACTTTATATGCCAAAAATAATGAAAATACCATGAATTTGACAGAGAGTAACATGTGATAAAGTATTGAAACAATAATTTAAAAAATCAGCTCTTAAAGCTCTTCTCTGTGCAGTGCAAGCAAACTTGTACAATCAACAACATTCAAACACTGTAAGTTTTCAATATGAGCCTCTCCTGAGAAACTCATGTATAAGAAGTCGCTACTGTGAATCCTTGACAACAACATAGTAGATTACAAAACTTCAAAATAGAACGCAAGGGAGTAAGTATAATATAGATGTCATTCCAGAAACTTTGGTAAATACATGTCATTTATAAAAAGATGTGCCTATATACAAATGAACAGAATACTTTTATTGGCATATTTTATACAGAGTTCCAATGATTCATTATTTTGTGGGAAGAACTGGATGTTTGAGTGTTGGGATTCAACAAATCAACTAAGCAGTTCAGTCAACATTGCCAGAACAAAGTACACACATCAATAGAAATGCTTCCACCTCACTAGCTCTCTAAGTCTAACGTTTAATAAGAATGAAATCCCGTTGTAATTGAAAGCAAAGTTCAACATTAAATAACCCTAAAAATGCAAGCTTTTAATTTAGGTACAAATATTGTAAGCAATGAAATGAAAATTTATCTGGTGAATTTTGTATATTATTAATTTATAAAAGTTGGCACAGCCAAGAAAAGTAAAGAACAAATTTAGTGGAAAATTTTGTTGAGAAAACTGCTCGTGACATTTTGATTCCGGCCTTTAAATATGTTTTGGTCTCACATTTGTTGACATACCCATCAGTGACTTAAAAAAAAAAATATTTTTTTTTGGTACCACAAAATTTGTTTTCATTGTCCACCTCGGTACTTTGCAAGACAGCCTAGAGCCCTTGTTCAAGAGGTGGAGATAAAGGAAATCATAGATTGGTTTGCACTGAAATGAAGAAAAACTTTATGTAGTGTTTTAAAGCTCCCTTTTTTTTTTCAATTTGGTTTGTATTACTATCTTATGAAAATAAAACATGAAAATATCCTTCTGGTAATCACCTCTTGGACCTAAGGATAACCTCACAAAACAGTTCACCATGACTGGTGTTATTTTCAGTTGCTGGGAAGATTGCAGCTTTACCTCCTCTGTTACAACACAAAGGAAAGTTATGTCATTTAAAAGAATGAAATAACAAAATCATCAGCCACTGATATGTAGCATCAAATTGCTCTCTGACATCCAACATCCAGATATCAAGATACATTTTAAAAAAAAGCACAATATTCTATGACTAACATGTTTTTCATCTTATACATTATATAGATTGAAGGAGGTAAAAATATCAGTATCATAATCATATAAAGATTACACAGACAAATTGACTAGATAAATTTGTTCCAAATAAAGCTTATATTTTGAGTATTTGTAAACAGATTCTTACGCTCCAAAAAAAAAAAAAATGATAAAATTAAAAGAACTAATAATGACAATATTAAAATGCCAACTATCCACCAATGTAATATTGTTAAAAGAAATTTTTTAAAACACCACATACTTTTTTACTTTCCTTTAAAGATTACACAGACAAATTGACTAGATAAATTTGTTCCAAATAAAGCTTATATTTTGAGTATTTGTAAACAGATTCTTACGCTACAAAAAAAAAAAAAAAATGATAAAATTAAAAGAACTAATAATGACAATATTAAAATGCCAACTATCCACCAATGTAATATTGTTAAAAGAAATTTTTTAAAACACCACATACTTTTTTACTTTCCTGTTAGCAAGGGAGATGGAAAAAAAAAGAAAGATGGCAGGAGTTGGCTTTTTAAGATAAGACATTTGCTTTTAAAATATTTTATTTTTTTACATAATCCAAGAGCTTATTGTTTAATTGAATAACTCAAATACTTCCTATTTGAAAAAATCCAATAAAAAAAACTAAATGTGGAGTCAGAGGATTGTATATTTACAAAAATTTTAAAATCACACTGAAAGCTGCTTTCCCACATTATGTAAAATGAATTTTAATATTATTTTGTTTTTATGGTATTAAACAAAATTTTTTTTTATTTATTTAAAAAAATGGAAGTCCTGTTTCAGTCAATACAAGCAGAGCTAGTTGAATCCTGGAAATAGTCTTTCGGTTTGGAAGTTTGCTCCTGCCCTGCCATGGAGAGGTAAAACAGATGCAACTTCAAGTCCTTCTCAATAAAATTCACTCCTTATTTATAATGCTTGTTTTCAACAGTAATCAGTGTAATAAAATTTGTAATGCTAGTACGGTGCAAACCTCTGATAACCTCCTCGATAGACTGTTGCCTAGAAATTAAAGAATAAATTATGTAAATTTTGAAAATTTTAAAATGAATAAGCATATGTTCAGCACAGGAATAAAAACTTATTTATAAAATATGCAGGATTGTAATGAAAATAATAACAATATTTAGCCTGCTAATGATCCTAGAAAGCTCCGTACTATTCAACTAGATTTATTAATCATTTGATTTTGATGATAAATACACTTATAAAACATATTTCTTGTAAAAAGAGGAAAATCTAAGCAATTTTAAAAAAATATTAAGAACATACTCCATAACCAGCAACAGGCCCAATACTGTGTCCTATATATGGTTCAGCAGCAAATTCTCTGCCATAGCTGAAATATACAGCACATATTACATTTCAAAATGGCTTAAATCAAATAAATAATACAACTTAAACTGCAGGGATACATCTATAACAATTTACTTTCTTGTTCTCTTTTGTCAATACCTGAAGAGATCCATGAATTTAAATAATAATTTCTATTTTATTTTTAAAATCTCATATTGCATGATAAAGAAGAAAAGTAAATGCTCGTTCAGGTGAATCAAATGGTAGTATAAGATCTAATTAAGAATATTTTTTAAGATGACAAACCCTGCAGCAGTAGTATATGTAACTGGTGTAGCTACAGCAGCAGCTGGGAAAGCATAACGGGCTGCCCCTGCAGGGTAGGCACCTGCAGCGGCTGCGTATGGCTGACTTGTTACCAGCTAAAATAAGGAAAGAAACAGTCTTTAATCAAATATTGACAATGCAATTACTTCAGCCTAAATTAATTCCAAAAAGCCTTTATTGAGAGTTTTTTAAACTTCAATAGCCATTATTGAGAATAAATTAACAAAACAAATTAAAATGAATTGCATTAATTATTAAACTGTTTATATTATTTGTTGTTTTCTCGCTTCCTCTGCTTCATTCTTTAAAAGTCATCAATCCAAATAGATTCAGAATTGTAGAGATAGCATTGGATAGTTTTATAACTGTTAACTTGATAAATTATGAAGAAATGAATCATATTTTCTGTGGTAGAATACAACAATCTACAGTCATACAGTAAAATTTAAATACTCTATCAAAAAAGTTTCCTACCTGATATCCTCGCCCAGAGGCGTCATATGCCACAAAAGGATCTTGATAAACACTAAGTGGATATAGAAAGGTTTGAGAATAAAGTGTAATACTCCTTTTTGGTCACCAAATTGAGAAATTAGCAGAATAAAATTAAATTTTTAGCAATACCTAATTAGACACAGGTGTGTGCCCTGGAGGACCTATGGCTTGACAGATCCAGAATTTTAGACTTTTCTATTTATGAATTAATAAGTTTAAATTCAACCCCCCCCCCCTCCCCCCGCCCTCCCACCTAAATCCTCTTTTCTCTGAGAATAATTTCTAAATGCTCAAGGGTAGTGTTCCCCAAATGGTGGTCCATGAACCGGCACCGTAACATGAGCCACACAACATGAATATTTGTGGTCAAATAAAAAGAAATATAATTAATAAATTAGCCTCCAATCCCAGATAAAATTTCAAACTTGCCCACCAAACTTAAATTGGGAAATGCTGCTCTAGGGAATAGTAAAATGGTTCCAGGGTATTGCATAATTTTTTTGATGTGAATGCAATGACCGGATGGGAATGTTTCAATAAATCCATAACATCTAGTTTAACTTACGTAGCATATGGAATAGCAGTAGCTGGAGCAGCTATAGGTGTTGGGTGGCGTAGGCCTGCAGCTGCAGCAGCTGCTGTGTATACCCCACCCAGACTCCTGGCTGCTACAGCGGCTGCAGCCCTCCCTCTAGTTAGTGCAACTCCTCTCAGTGCAGCTGCAGTGACTGAATCTAAAAGCAAGGGAGAACCTAGTAAATTTGCATGCAAATGTTCACATTAATTTTTTTTTGATAAAAGCACAAATACAAAGTAATAGTGAAAACAGGTTGTAATGTTTTAGGACATAAATGAGGTATGAAATTAAAATATGAATTTTGGGTGAGAAGGAATTTAAAAATTATATATTGTCTATTGTGATCACTGATCATTCAATTATTCATTCTACCCACAGTGGGAAAAAGAACAGCGCTTCTCAACCTCTCATTTTAAGTAACATGTAAATTCCCTTTTTATGTTTCCCAGTCTTCCATCACAAATTTTAGATTTTCAATACAAAAATTATCAATTTGAATGGTAAAAAAATGTTGCCTTCCAAAATTGAAATCTCCATATTAGAGATAATATAACATTTAATATATAAACCAACTTAAACAACAAAGGCCATATCATTTCAGTAATTAGAAAAATGCCATTTTCTTTTTACAAAAACTATGAATTAATCTTGTTTTAGAAAATAAAAAGTATTAGATGCCTAAACCTATGAATTCAGCCAATGGTCAAAGCCATATTTCTAATTTACAGCTCTTTAAGCTTAAGTATGCTATTCAATTTTTTTCCTCATCTTAATTGACAAACATATTTTTTTTTTCTAGGAAAATTCTTTGATTTACTAAACTAATGGAATTTTTACAAAAAAAACTTTTATGTATCGGCAGTATCGAATATAATAAAGTCCTGTCACAGTTTTAAAAAATGTATCAGTTTTTGTTATTACAGTAAAAAGCTTTTAAAATGTCGGGTGAGAAGCGCTGAGGTGGAGGTCAGTGTTGCATTCGAATGCTCAGGCAGGAACATTGTTCCTCTCTTTCATTCCATCTAAAACCTAAGACCCTCTTGTTATTTCACCAACAAAGAGCAATCTTTCACAAAATTATTATTCACAAAATAGCCCAGTGGCTGATCCAGAACTTCCAATGCAAATATCATTATGCAGGACATAATTTTTCATAAGGGGAAAACATTTATATGTAAGCAAAGCTTTTACATGAGTATGACAAAAATATTTCAAACAATTCCTAGGTGTAAGTTTTTCATTCAAATTGATCTTGACAAGAAAAAAAAAAAAAAAAAGAGAAACATGCTCTGCGTTTTTTTGAAAAATTGAATGAATTGAAAATGCTTTCTATTGGATGAATGTTAATCATCTCTCTTTTAGTCAAAGTCTCTGAGAAGAGAGAATACAGACAATATGCCAGGCTAGCAAAATTACCATAACCAAAATGCAGAACATAATAAAAATGTATGCAAAGAAATATTTAAAATAAGATTTTCAAAAGAATAATTGACTGGAGAATAAAAATATAGATGAATGTATATTGTATCTATCATTCTCCACAGTGACGAAAGTATTAAAAATTTGTGAGGGAAAATGTAATCATGCTCCAAATGGTGCTTCAACAACTTTAAAACATGACCTCACTTAAAAAAATCTATTGTAAATATCAAACCCAAGTCTTACCCCTCCCTCCCCTAAAGATAATTAAAAAAGTAATAAAATGAAAATGTGAATATGAATGGAGCAAAACGGAGTTTAATTTGATTGAAATTAAAAATCTAAAAGGTAAACAAACTTAAAGATTTTAAATGCTTTAATTTTATGCGGAATGCAAGTTTATAAAAAATCTAAGGCCACAACTCAAGCAAGCACTGCTATTTACTGGAACATGATAAGCATGTTCATAACTGAATAATTTAGTAAACCAATTTTTAATTATTTATTATATTAAGCACAAAAATTGAAACTTGCATTGGCATAAAAATATATGATGAATAGTAAGGATAGAGATAGAAGTTTAAACGAAAAAAAAAAAAAAAAAAAAAATGCAGACCAGTGGTCACCTAACATGGAAAGTGTTTGATATCTTACCGGTAGATAGTGTGGGGGCGGGCACCTTTTTGGTCATGACCCGTGCAGTTGCATTGTTAACCTAGCACAGAATCATTGGTTTGGGTCAAAATCAAATGCCAATCAAAATGCAGTTCTGGTTACAACCTTAGCAGGAGGGACCCAAATTTTATTTTGTTGAAAATGAAACTTTCATAATAAAACAATCCCCTTATCCAAGAAAAGATTTTAAAAAAAATTTTTTTTTAGGTAGAAACCAAATAGTTGTGGCTAAAAATGAGTAACTTAGAAAGCTTTTCCTCAGAAAAGAAAACTCCAGTGGCAAATTTGGATATTGGGTCCCTCTGGGTAAGATTTGTAACTCCAAAATTGTTTTAATTATTTTTTTAAAACTAATAATTCTATCATTGCCAATTATAGTTTGTTATGATAACAAAAGTAGATTGATTTTTTTCATCTCTTCTTAAACTTCCAAATTAAAAGCTAATATTTTTTTAAAAATGTATTTAACAAAAAACTGGATAAAAATTGTTCAAAATATTTTTTTACTGTGTCATCATAACAAACTCAGTTGACATGTTAACATTTTAAGATTAAATTGCATATAACTAATCTATAATTTTCAAACTGTATACCTAATTTTTATGAATTAACAAATAAAAATGTAGACTTGAATAAAAAATTCTATGTCAATTGGCCTCAGCCATCTAAGCTCTAACTTGAAAAATGCCTTTCAAATTGTTTTGTTAAACTAACGACTGCTTTCTTGCTACAAAGTTCAGTGGTTATTGCCATTTTCCATCAAAATGTTGGCTTTTAATTTCAACCAAAAAGGTACATATACTTTTTCAATAACTGATAATATTGTTTAAAAAACCTACCCTTTATATCAGCTGTCTCCAGGTTCCCAAACATAATACTTCACTAGTGAAAATTAAAAGAACTAATATGGAACCTTTCTGCAGCAGTTAATATGTGATTAATGCTTTGGTTAATTTCTTTTTAAAGGACGTGAAAAAAAATACTTGTTTAAAAATTTAGTAGAAACTGGCAGTAATAATTTGTAAAAAAAATTTGTTCAGCATAAAGAAATGCCATATACACAAAAAGTATAATGCACAAAGATCTACAAATGAAGAAGAAACTTTGATAATATTGCCATGGCGTGCAATCAGAGTAGCGGGGCATTTGGGAGCATTGCACATATAAAAATGCACAACAAAACATACTTGGCCTTCTTAAGTTGGCCTTAAGTGCCACAATGTTCCTCTTCCTGGATACAGTGGGATACATTTGATGGGGAAAAAAAAATGTTTGTGAAATTATGGCTTTAACAAGATTCGCAATTTGTGCATGATAAAAAAATTTCGGACAGAAAATTTACTGTGTAGATACAGTAATAACAAGACATTAACACTTTTAACACAAAACGAAAAAGGGGGAATCTATGTGATATTTTTATCATTTGATACAACATTTACGTAGCCATCAAAGACAAAAATATTAGGTGATTCTATTAAGGGGGAAAAAAAAGAAATTTAACAGGCATTTCTCCATACTGCAACACATTGATAATATACTTAGCATTGATTTCAGTTGTGCTAGCACAAAAATGTAAAGTAACATGCAGGCACCTCAATCTTTCGTCCCTCAACCACAGTGCCGTTCAATTTCTCACGTGCTCTGTCGGCATCACCGCTATTTGCGAAAGTTACGAAACCGAATCCCTGCATGCATAAGGAAAACAAGGAGCATGCATTAAACGTGCAATGAAACATTAAAACATGATCATCAATTACAGTCAGATTTAATAATGAAACAAAGGAATGTCGTCATCTGAGTCAAAATGTTGCTTAAGTCTTTTTTTTAATTATAAAACAAAGAAAATAACTAGAAATATTATTTGAGTCTGTGATTGTATCACAATTAAAATTCAAATGATGTAGCAAACATGTATAAATGTAAGTGTGATTGTATTTTCTGAAACAGGAAAATAGTTAGGAATGGAAGAGAAAAAATATGTGTTGTTTTGTATTTTTTAATGATAAATACATGCTGTTTTTTTTATGTTTGGTTTAGTATTTTTAGTTAATCAGCACAGTAACTACGTCAAAACAGTTAATTGTTGCCATTTTTTTCATCTTCTTTTAAAACCCGGGTAATGAAACGTGACATGAGCAGGGGGAAATTATACAACATGCTTACTCAACTAAGCGACATGCTTCCATGCCACTGGGCACATTTTTATTTACAAACTGTTTATTACTTGTATTTAACAAAGAGCAGCAAAACATTAGTTTTATATTTTAGCTTCATCGAACATCTGACAAGATTAGTTCCAGGCAATATTGGGTTTCCAATAGGAAGAAATCATACCACAGGCAAGTAAATTTAAAGGCCTTGAGAAGATTGCCAATCTCTGTTTCTGATGTTGGAATTGCACCTAACACTGAATACAGTAGAAATCAATCAGGGTGGGTCACAAGGAGAAGATGTGGCAGTCCTACTCAGACACATACTTGCAACATATTCAGGTGATATTTTAATAGCCTTTAAACCCAAACCCTAATTTCAACCATTGCTAATCTTCCTTTTGAAGAGTTCTCTACTTTTCTCTAATGCATTATATATTGAAATAGGATTTATAAAAATTTGTAGACACCGTTTATTAAAAATCTTTTTTTTTTATTCTTTAAGCTACATTTCGATAGATCCTTTTAATATTTCCAATAAAGCTTTAAATTGAGGTCACTGCTGATTTTAAAAATACTATAATTTGACTTGTAAAAAAATCTCTGCATGTTTTACAAATGCAAAAATATTAACCATGCAGCAGAAAAAAAAACATTTGAACTACACATCATGTCTGAGGTTATGTTATTAGTATCACTAGTATCACTACGAAATGTTTTCTAGGGTAATGTCACAGATCTTAGTAAGGTAATTATTTTTCCAATGCACACATCTAGGAAAGTATTTCACCCAGCATATTTAGTCATTCCGTAACACTGAACACGTCATCCACAGAACAAGACAGTCAAGCAGCAAACAAAATTAAAACATTTTTCTTTATTACATTAAAGTAAATTTTAAAAATTTGCAAATTTTTTCTTTTCTTTTTAGTTCTTTCACACACATTTCTTGTCTAATTTAGTTTAGAATAAACACTCACAAAAAAAAAAAACATTTTTTAAAATTTATAATTTAAAGAAAATATAATATTATCTCCTAGACAAAAAATAGTACACTTTTTTTTAGATTAGGGCTAAAAGATGTTGAGTGGGCTATCATGAAATTTTAAATATTTGTTAGTTCATGGGTAATGCTGGTTGATGTGAGTAAAAGCGAATTAGATTGGTTGTGAGATGCACTCAATTTTTGTTAATAACACTCATCACAATAACTAATTAACTCAGTGAGCAATTTTTTTTTTTTTTTAGTAATCATCAAGCAAGTAAGTTTGTATGTTGCATTTTTTAACATAAATTTGTTTATGTGTGTAATTTTTAATAATCATAACTTGTTGGGTTTTTTTTTTTTTTGGCAATAGGTGTGAATAGCATGTGTGATTGCATAAATGAATGATAAAATGGCAAATTATTAATGGATCTTTAGACATTGATTTTTTTCCCACTCTTCAAATACCCCCCAACCTTAATTAACTCAGTGAGCAATTTTTTTTTTTTTTAGTAATCATCAAGCAAGTAAGTTTGTATGTTGCATTTTTTAACATAAATTTGTTTATGTGTGTAATTTTTAATAATCATAACTTGTTGGGTTTTTTTTTTTGTTGGCAATAGGTGTGAATAGCATGAGTGATTGCATAAATGAATGATAAAATGGCAAATTATTGATGGAGATTTAGAAATTGATTTTTTTCCCACTCTTCAAATACCCCCCAACCCCTTTTTTTTTATATTAAAAAATTGAGTAATTTAAATTACTGTTTTCCAAAACTCCATCGAGCTGACTGTACACCCTTAAACTCTTTAATGCTGTGATTAAACTTTGGATTTAACATATAACGAAACATATCAATGAAAATAACTGATGGGAATGGTCATCAACTTTGCAGATTCAAATCACAGGCAGAAATTTTCAATTGCTTTAAAATTTCTGATTTTTTAAAATGTTAATCAATAGCACAGTTTAGCTCAACAGCCAGTCTTTGTCCTTACGTCTACGCTTGTTTACTTTCCAATTGCTTTTAATTATGAAATTTAATAGAGCAGCTTTTTAGTTCTTGGTATCTTTCCACAGGAAAAAAGCATTAAGTAGTGTAGGGTGTACTGTACAGGGTATAAGGACATAACTAAACTTAACTTACTTAACCTGCAAGAGCTTACAATTATATACATTTCTTTAAAATTCATCTTCATTGTGACCAAAATCATTTTTTTAGAATAGCTAGATCAGCAATTGCCAAACAAGCTGGTGAGAGTAGCACCCACAATTATATTCATTAAAAACTTTATATATAATAAAATTAATTCAACTCCTTTTCCTGGTTTTTATCTGATTTTTTTCTTCTCACTAGAATTCTTTCAAATTGATATTAATTCAACATTTTAAAATAATTAACTTTCTTGCCTCAATGCAATTTATATGCTTTGTTCTACATCCAATGAAAAATGAAACAACCATCCCAAAATAACTGACTTAGTGATAGACTTTATTTTTATATGGTATAAAATGAATTTTTTAATGGTTATATTTCAAGCCTATAATTTATTAACGTTCAATACCTAATTATTTGATGTAACAGATTTATCATATCAGGAAATAAAATCTGAAGCATGTGTCCTATTTGAATCACATGTTGTAAAAAAAATATCTTAAAAAAGTTTCTTTGGAATGGAATTTTAAAACCTTGATGGTATTCTATAAAATCACTTCCTCCCACATGCTCCCATCTTGTGTCAAACCGTTGTTCCCTACCAATTTTTTGTGGAACCACTGAGCTAGCTGATAATTTTAATTTACTATTATGCTTTTAATAGTAACTTCAAGTTTATGTCAAAAACCCTTGCAGATTTAGTAATATTCATATAAGCACCTTTTAAAATAAGAGCCTTTCATTCTTTCTTGTGTTTGCAATTATGGAAAAATATATTTTTTTAAAACAATAACTGATATTTCCTTCTACTTACGTTGAAAGTAATGAAGTGTAGTATATTATAATTTATATTTTAATTTTTTACCCCCAAGCGATAATATTTGTTAATGTTCTGACACACACAAAAAAGAATGGAAGTAAAATGTTGATGAAAAATGACAAATTCAATTTGTTAAATTTATCTCCATGATAATTTCGTCAAATTTAATTTAAAGAAATTAATTCTTATTTTAATGTCCTCCCTCTACATACTAATTTTTTTTTAAATAATAAAGAATATGTCACTTTCCATTTAACATCACAGCAAATGTATGTATGCAATCCTGAATGAAATTAGCTTTCTATTTCATTATTTCCTTTTAACAACATCAGGATACTATGTCTAAATTTTTTTCAAGTTTTCTGATAACTAGAGCATTTTTAGGTATATAACACGTTTTTGTCTTTGCACCATGTCTTCAGCCACCATGGACCTGTCATGTAGGCTTCAGCCAACTATTTTTGCTTTGATAAGCATTCATAGTGAGCTGGTTAATTATGTGGATGTTTACAGTAGGTGTTGCAAGGGTTAGAAACCTTGACTGTCAGAATGCCAGTCCTGTGTCTGACTCATGGCCTAGATTGAATTATGGTAAATTCTTTACCAAGGGGAAAAAAGTCAGTATGTAGCCTAATCTGTAACCAGACTTTCTGTCATTGCCCATAAACTTGCTGTGATGTTGCCATCTTGATCATTTCAAATAGATCATGGTCAAGATATTTTAATTTATCTGGCTTAACACTCACCTTTGAGCCCCTTTCGTTAAAGATGATCTCCACATCCAAGATTGTACCAAACTGCTGCAAAGGTATTTTTAAAAAGGGTCTTAGAAAATTCTTTTTTTTTTTTTTATATAAACTTTACCTAAATTTGATTATTTTATCAAAATTAACCTGTCAATGTTTAAAAAAACTTTTCCCTAAATAAAATGAATGCAGGTAGCTCTTAATTTAAAATGGTTCTAAACTCTTTTTAAAAGCTAATCTTATATTTATTTTATCAATAACGAGTCTGAGAGTTGAATTTAAAAAGTGAGGAAAATTTTTTACACAGAGAAAGGGATCATGAATATGTTACTTCAATACAGAAAGCTTTTTATACTGAGATGATTGCCCTTTAACAAGGAAGTGGGATTAATTTTGTGTTGGGTTATGGGATTAATTTTGTGTTGGGTTGTCCACAGCAAAGGGCAGTTACATTTTTAAAAATATAATGGTATATTCTCATTCAACATTCATTTTTTCACCCAAATAGTTTCAGGGCTGGATGTGACTATTAACAATGTTAAATGAATTTTACAGGAAAACTTACTAATGGGAAATTACATAGTTATTCAAAGGGTGCTGACAATAATGTTTACAATTTTGAGTGTTATCTTGTTCTCATTTAAATTAATTTGAAAGAAAACTGTTGCTTCACATTATTAGAAAAGGGGCCTTAGCCAAAAACGTATCAACCAAAACATGCAGATTATTTTTTTGCTAACATTTTTCAATTTAAAAAGATGCTTTTAACTATACACCTTTTATTGTTTTTCTCCTTGCTTTAAATATGCTTTTCTTGATAAACATTAAAGTTGAAAGCAATGATTGTAAATACAATGTTATTTTGATAGATAGATATTTTGATAATTTGAGCTCTGTAGTAATAGAAACAATGCACCCAAGGACTGAAACATTAAAACAGGAAAGAAAGACCTGCAGAGGAAAACATGTTCATTTCAAAGTAATCACGACTTATAAACAGATGGGATGATCAGGAATGGTCCCATCAAGATAATTTGGCATGCCTTTTGATGCAGTCAGTGAATAAATGTTGGCGTAAATAAAATTAATTAGTTGAAAGTATCTCAACCTTATGTTTGATTAAAAGGAAGTTGTATAAAGTTTTAGTTTTAGAACCAATGATTTAAGGCAGCGGTTCTCAACCTGTGGGTCCCAACCCCTTTGGGGGTTGCGCGACCCTTTTCCAGGGGTTGCCTAAGACCATATGAAAACACATATCCTTACAGCTATGAAGAAGCAACGGAAATAATTGTGTGGCTGTGGGTCGCCACAACACGAGAACTGTATTAAAGGGTCGCGGCACTAGGAAGGTTGAGAACTACTGATTTAAGGCCTTGGGAGAAAATATAACCAAAAACGTCTGCCGTATTAATTGCAGCCAGCTCTAATTTTAACTTCATATTTATTATTATAACCCAGAAACTTTTATTTTCAACTCCATCTAACTAAATGTATTAACTATTAAGAATGTGATTAACTATTTATGTTTGAAAAGTGGAAATTTATATATACATTTATACTGACCCCAAGCAGCTGTCTGAGATCAGCTTCCCTAAATCTGAATGGTATGTTGGAGACGTGTAATCTTTTTGGACCTGTATTTGGAGAAATGGCACCACTCGTTGGAGGAATTGAGTTGACATCACCTTCAGAAGACTGGAGTTCATTCTAAAGAAACAGAAAACAGTACGATTAGAGAATATGCTTAAATTTATGCTTTATATTATTTTATACTTCAACCATGACCACAATTTATTATCTACAAAAATATCCTAATGAATCTGTTAATTTATGGCTTAAAGCTTTGTTCTCAATTTTAATAATTGTAATTATCTTAACAATGGATTAAAAGATGTTTAATAACTACGCATAATTATTCTGTCATCTTATATTCATAATTAAAAAATTGATTCAACATTTGTATACACTTTTAAAAAAAAACAATATGAATGTAGAAGGGAACAGTTAGAAAAAAAGAAAAAAGATTATGAAATACATTTTATAATTTCATAAGAACACACAAACACGGGGTGTTCAAATTATTTGTTAAGAAAGAACCATACCAAAAGCACATGAAAAAATGCAACATTGTAAACCAAAATAATTAACAAGTAGTCTAAATTACATAATTAAAGTTTAACTGAATCAAGATGGAGGCCAGTGATTTACTGGCAACTAACTTCTTGGCTTTTCAATATTAATTAATTATGACAGTAATTGTCATTTACATGTTGTAAAAACTTAAATCAATATGCGTTTTTTTTAAATTCTTTTGATAATTTTCTTTTTAAAATTATAGTTTAAAATATATAATTTAGGCCAGTAACATCTTAAACTTAAAGTAGATATAAAATTGTTCTGGAAAGTAAACATTTATTAGAACTTAATGAAATTTAATTTCCCACTATTTCTGGCACTCCAAATAAAACAATTTCTCAGCTGTATTGTTAAAGCAAGTTTTGGGGGTTTTTTTTTTTGCTTAGTTAAAGTTAAGAAAAGTAGACAATCATTAAATAATATTTAATATTAAAAAGACCATAACACTTTGAAATATACAACAACTTTACATTCTAAAGGTACAAAGAAGTAGAAAATAAAAAAATTAATCTGTATTCTTTTTTTTTTTTTTCCTTTATCACTGAGTGAGTGAGAGAGACAGAGGAACAATTTAATTTATAAAGTTCTTACAGTAAGCAGTTAAGAATTATTAATGAAATGCATGTTAGCTCAATTTTGGTTTTTTATATATGTTGGGCTTAACAGGGAAGATTAAGAAAAAAATATTAGATTTTTTTTTTGTTCAAACTGATTGATCTAAGCACACATTTAAAACTGCTTTAAAAACACTAAAAACAAAATTATAAAACTTAAATGGGGGAAATAGCTTTACCTTATTTGATGCAAACTGAGCTCAAACATTTTTTTTTAACCGGGTTAGATACCAGCACACAATTTTATTATAAAGAAATCTACAGTTAATAGAAGTAAATGCACATTAAGTAATTAAATACAAAGCAGTACTGCCATTCTACTAAGGTAAACTATTCAAATACAGTGAAGTGCTCAGTACACACTATAATCACTTCTCAACCAAAAAAAAAAAACTTGCTTAACTAAAGATTCACCAAAACTTGAGCATTCCTTTTCTCATCATTAACAGAAAATTTTTAAAAACTTACAGAAAGACGATGTATTTAAAAAACCTGTATTTTATTCATCCTAAACAATTATAAATCTTTTGCATTCAAAACCAATCAAGTTAGACCAACAAAAAAAAACAAAAAAAAACAGCAGGCATTTATGCTGTTTGGCAGTACTGCATGGAAAGAGGAAAGCAAGCAGATATGTAATAACTAGAACACCCAACCAAAATTGTGTAATACTAATGCAAACCTCGGACACTGCTTTGAGGTCCCTCAGCCAGAGGCTTTTATGTGCCTCTCTCAGGAACTGAAGAGGAAATATTAGGACATTGACTACATCTCAACAAACACAGCAAAATTGGCAAACAGTTTAAATGCAATAGATATGATAAATCTCATTTCATAGTAACACAGTCAAACACAGTATTGACATCTGGGGCTCCAAAAAAAACAAACAATTAAACTAAAAAAAACCAAGAAATTGAACATATAAGATTAACATTGATAAAATAGATTTGTTAGGATGGTGACAATTGAAAATATTCATTTTTCAGAAAGGAATTATACAAATTTTTTTCCAATAAGTTGCTTTCTTTAAGAAATGTTTTCTTTTACAATAATTGCTCATTATTTCATCGCATAGACTTGTTAAGAAGAAAGCAGATTGGATCCTTTTTATCAAATTTTAATGACAACTTTTTTTTTAGGAATAAAAAAAATGTGTTTAAAAGATATTAAATCTATTAATCCATGCTTTGAATAAACTTATGACAAAAAGGGACGCAAAACAATCAAACAATTAATTAACTTCCCAAATTTAGATAGAGAAAGAATTTGCTAAATTTTTGTCAACAAATAATTTTAAATAATAAGCAAGCATCAAGTCAACCAAACCATGAAGCCATTTTCCTTATTTAAAAAAAAATTGTGAATAGTATTAATGTGATTAGCTCATGCTTAAATTCTCAAACCAGATATGTAAGTCCAGTTATAAGAACACAAAGCATGCAATCCTGGTAAAAATTGGGGGATTCATTAACTGTCAATTCTTTATTTTAATAATTTCATTGGAGGCTCAGGCAATTTTTTAAAAAGCACCCTAATCCATTCTAGATTCCTTTCATAAAGATGAGGTCCCATCAGAGTTGGGAAGCCTAATATAAAAATCTACATTTCTCTTTTAAATGTAGCTGATTGCCCTGATCTTTAAACCAATAAAATTATTAAATATAACTTAGTAAAACTAAATAGCCTGCTTTAAATAAAAATAACCTGTTAAGTAAAAAAAAAATCAATGGAATTATATTTTGACTCCAAATTTTTGCTCACTCAAACTTGATAGAAATTACTTCCTTGTTCATGGATTTTTTGATAATAAAATGAGTATAATTATTTAATCACTCATTCATTTGTATCTTGTTATTTTACTTATTTAACTAATTTATATTTTTCAAGTCAATTTTTTAAACACAATTTAGTTGGTATTTAATCAATTATTTATTAAATTCAATAATTAAAATTTAAAAAAAAACTTATCTTTCTATATGCTTTTTAAAAATCTGCGGTGGAGAGTCTAGTTAAAAAGCTACTGTCTTGTTAAAAGAAATTTTAGTTATTTTTTGTGTAAGTTCTAGTCCATTATCTTCTTTTAAAAATACAACATTAATGCCAAAAAGGGATGTGCTAACATTAATGCCAAAAGGGATGTGCTGACATTGATGCCAAGGGGATGTGCTGACATTAATTCCAAAAGGGATGTGCTGACATTAAACAAGCTTTCTAAGAGTGGCATACACATAAAAAATTTATGAAAGGGAAATTTCGTTACAGTGAGTACTATGCAGAGAAAATGTGCGAAATCTGGCAGGAAAGCGTTATAACTGATCATTAAAAAATTAACTTGAAATAATAAAAATAATTATGAATCAATATGGTTTGCATGCAGTATATAGCTAGTATATAGCCAGCCCATTTATGTATGAAAAGATTCTATACTATTCTAATTACCTAGTTTTTTTTTTTTTTTTTTTTTTTAATACTGGTCTTTTGTGCCAAGTTATATTTTGAAGGCTTCAAACACTAAGAAACCACACCTTAATCATTTAAATTAATTTTTATTGACAGCTCTCTTTACCAAGAATCAACATTATTTTAGATCAAAATAATTGTATGTGCTAATAACAAGAAACGATAACACAAATTCACAGTAGCAAACTTGTGTACAGCATGACATGATGGTCAAGTTTAAAAAAAATCAATTTTGCCCTGTTTAATAATTATAGACACTGAATACTTCCAACACATGCAAGTATATAAATATGTGCACGCAAACAGAAATAAATGTTTGTTTCAAAACAGTATTTACAAAATGCCATGTCCCAAAATGGAAGGACACATGCATAATCAAGCTAAAAATTAACAGTAGATTAGAACAGGAACAGTAATCATAATTAATTTATATCCATATAAAAATCTTTTCAAAGCCTCAAGTTTAATTTATTCAAATTTTTTTAAACACCCCCCCCCCCCCACTCTCCTGTTTTTTTTCCTCCCCCAAAAATGTGAATGGATTCAGATATTACATGTAAATTGCTGATGCTTTTATTTAAGTATGAATTAATTGAAAAACACTAGGAAAGAAAAAATTCAGATCTGTTTAATTGTTGGAAGAACTTGTAGATGAAAATTAAAGTTGCAAAAGAAAAAAAAAATAGAAAGAAAAACCTACCGCTTGTTGGTCTGCAGCAGCACCGTTTGAGGTGATTGGTGTTGTTGTGTAGATGGTCTGACCGCTGGGCTCTGAGGTGATGGCTGACACTGCCACACCTTGCATCCCAGCCAGGGTGGCTGCCGACCCTGCTGCTGCTGCTGCCGCTGCCTGACTTGCAACCGCCTGATGGTACTCCTCAAGGCTGGCCTGAGGGTATGAATACGTCGGAGTCATTTGGTTCTGGACCATATGCTGGGGAAAAGACAAATATAAAATTGAATATAAGATTCAATAAATTTGTGGGGTATTACTCAGCAATGCATTATTTAATAATGCACAACAACTAGAACAATCTTGACTGAATTTGACTTTGTTGAGCTGAACCAATTCTAAGTCCCATAACAGCCCATAAGGAAAGACATATGGGAATCTTTTTTTTTTCTTTCCAACGATCATTTCAAAGCATGTTCTTGATCTTGCAAGAAAATGTCCTGGAAACATACCCACATACCAGAAAGTTTAGTTTAAAACTGTTAATTTAAAAAAAACAACAGCACAGTGACTAGCTTCATCCCCAGATTGGGGAAAGACTACAGGTGGTGGGATCCAATGACTATCATACATATGGTATCGTTTTTTATTTAAATTTATCATTTCAAGGCATGGTCTTGACCTTGAAAGGAAATGTACTGGAAACTTACCCACATATCTGAATGTATAGTAAAAACTGCGAATTTAAATAACAGCACAACGACTAGCTTCAACCCCAGAGTGTGGATACACTACAAGTGGTGGCATCCAATGACTATTATACATGTGACTGAAAGCAATGCCAGTTTCAAGTACAGTCATATACGATTCTCTTGAATGCCAAAGAGTAATCACTCTAAATTACCCCACTCCATTCGGTCATTATACATCCCCTTTTTGTCTTATTATCCCCCCTCCCCCCAGCAAAAATCCGTTAGCCCTATCAGATTTGGTGGAAATAAACGGGGGAGGAGCTATAGTCACAGCTTGGAGTGCATGCAGCTGTACCTCTGTGCCGAGTACAAATACGCACACGTCACGTAATGGTACTGCAGCAGGGTAAAAAATTACGAGTTCCATTTTAAAAAAAAATTAGAAAGAAAATACTTTCGCTTACGTTAGTCACTTGTTTTATTAGTACGGGTGGGCCTTTCAGTTGTGTATCAGTGAATGTTGTTTGTTTTTGAATGGGTTCTAGGGGGTGACACGTGTTTCTGTTAATGAGGAAAGGGTACCCGTTCAGCAGGACATGGCAGTAATGAGCAGCAATTACTCAAAAACCCCGCTGTATTCGTCGCCAGTTGGTGCTGGCGTGACATTTCCGAAAATTACATACAATTAATGTACTGCGGCACATGGGCCTGGCCTGCGGCACATGGGCCTGGCCTGCGGCACATGGGCCTGGCCAGACGGCAGTGCATTCACGAAATGTATACCTCGAGCTCTTTTTAGGTACCTAATAGCAGAGAGGATTCTCATTGTGGGGCCTCCACGGATCCTCGCGTTGGTGTAGGTGGGGGACCCTGGTCATTTGAAAAGGGGGGGGGGGTAGGGGCGTCTGTCATCAAAAGTTTATGATCAAGTTATTAAACAATCAAGTTTCCACGCACAATTACATGTCTTTATATTTTCCCATAAAACATTCCATTTCGTGATTAAAACAAGATCCGTATTGGGTGTCTCAAAACGAACGAAAGCGTTGGTGCCTTAGGTGATGGGTAGCAGAGAGAAGAAAAAGAAGTGGGTCCTCAGGGGATGGGGGCGAGACGGGCACCTCATCCAAGCGCCGAAACCAATTCTGGCCGGTAACAATCAGAGCTGATGTTGCCTTTTCCCCCTCCTCAGATCGATCGGCCAAAGGGTGTCGCTAGTAATCAACTTATGTGGGCAAAATGTTGATGGTGCTGAACACGCTGTCTTCGGACAACAAAAATAACCCGGTGACATCTTTAAATAATTAACCGAAACTCGTGTTTTCCGAATGTCCGACTTCTAAGTAGTTATTTTACGTTACAGTGTTAAATAAAATGTCAGGGAGTCGATGGTCTGAGAACTGATGGTCAGGGAATGTGATATTCAGACAATTGGTGGTTTAGTAAATTTATGGTCAGGGAATTGATTGTCTGAGAATTGATGGTCTGGGATTTTATGGTATAAGAATTGATGGTGAGGAATTGATGTTGAGATATTGATGGTCACAGAGATGGTCAGGGAATGATGGTCTGAGAAAGAATTGATGGTCAGGGATTTTAATGGTATATGAATTGATGGCGAGGGAATAGATGGTCAGGGGAATAGGTGGTCGAGGAATTGATATTGAGACAACTGATGGTTAGTAAATTGATGGTCAGGGAATAGATGGTATGAGAATTGATGGTTAGTGAATTGATGGCCAGGGAATAGATGGTCAGGGGAATAGGTGGTCGAGGAATTGATATTGAGACAACTGATGGTTAGTAAATTGGTGGTCAGGGAATAGATGGTATGAGAATTGATGGTCAGTGAATTGATGGCCAGGGAATAGATGGTCACAGCATTAATGGTCAAGGAATTGATCATCAGAAGAGAGACGAGCACTGAGCAGCAAAGAAACAGTATTTTAAAAAAATACGGTTTTGATTTAGTCTATTAGAATTATGGGAATGGCGAACATTTTAATTAAACCTGAATACTGATATTCTCAAACTTGAGTGCCGACCCAGGGAACTCTGCTTAACCTCTGCCACACGCCGGGTGAGCCATAGGTTCGCCACCACAGTTCAGTTGTAACAAAGGTGTTAGCTCAGTGTGTCCCAAAGTGGAGCCTACAATTGATTGTTAATGGGAGGACTTTGAAAAAAAGAAAGCTGCCTAAATTTTGAAAACCCACAGTCTACTACGATTTAACTTGTATTTTAAAAGGCGAATTGTTTCAATTTAAAATAAGCGTTTGAAGTGTTGAGGAAAATTCAAATTTTGAAAATAAAAAAATATTGGTATACCGCATAGGGGCCATACGAATTTTAGAAATGGTAAGGTGGGGCATGGCACAAAAAGGGTTGGGAAACACTGCTTTAGGCTGCTTAAGAATTGCAAAAAATATACATCAAAGTGCTGGTAAGGGCAGTTATTCGGGTATAGTTTTGGAGGTTGTGGTATACACTCAGATGTTGATATGCCGTGGATAGAGCTTAACAAATTCTGAGGTATAAAAAAACGGTTCAATTAGTTATTTTTATTTTTTTGTGTGTGTACTGTCAGACAAAAAACCAATTTGCCATAGACGTTGATTTAAAACAGTGCCCGCAGAAGATGTCTGTGTTCACTTGAAGCAATGTCTGTGTTCACTTGAAGCAATGTCTGTGTTCACTTGAAGCAATGTCTGTGTTCACTTGAAGCAATGTCTGTGTTCACTTGAAGCAATGTCTGTGTTCACTTGAAGCAATGTCTGTGTTCACTTGAAGCAATGTCTGTGTTCACTTGAAGCAATGTCCATTAGTTGTTTAAAAATGTTTTACAAAACATTCCGGATGGTGAGCAGGTCATGGCCGTGTGGTCAACATGCCTGGTGGTCGGTAGGCCGGGGTACCATTGTATTTTTTTTTAAAAATCAGTCCGCAAAATAACGTCATCCGCGAAAAGAAGTTGAAATTTCATAGAGCTTTATGTGAACATACGTCTTGTAGTTATGGAATCTTATAGTTATTTGACATCTTGTAATTATGACATCTTACAGTTATTTGACATCTTATAGTTATGACATCTTACAGTTATGACATCTCATAATTATGACATCTCATAACAACGACACCTCATCGTTACGACGTCTTACAGTTATGACATCTCACAGTTATGAAATCTCATAGCTATGACCTGATCTCCGTTATGCATTCGATGACCAACAAAGGCACACTAACAAATGTTAAAATAACAAATCACATCTATATTTATAAGACATATAAAAAAAAATAGACCCCCCCCCCCATAACATGATTTATAACACCAACACGTGTACAAACAAATCATTAGAATAATGGTCACCTTGGCTAGAATGACGCCACCAACAGACGGTATGTGGTCGTGTCGGAGGCGCGGTAGTCCAGGGATGGGGTGCAGGCCCCCCTTCACGATCATCTTCATCATCATCGATGACGGGTGTTGGAAATAAATCCTTGGTGCTGTTTAAGAAACCGAAGGGGGGAAAAAACACGGGATTTCTCCCCGTCCTTGCCGAGGATGACACGAGCGCGGCGCACCGGCAGCAACACAGCTCTTCAATTTCAGATGGTATTATCATCGGGCGTCATGAACACATTTTAAATCCAAGAGCACGTTCAATGGCGCTGTAATGTTGCACAACTCACCAATCACAATGAACAATTTTTTAAAGAAACGTTGTTCTTTTTTTTTCTTTCACAGCAGCTCGTGGTCCATCATCAATTCAACATGATAAAACTTATTCAATATAATATTTGAACATTAATACTGAAGAGAGAAGGAAAAAAATAATTGAAACCCGTATCTTTTTTTTCTTCTATCGAGTCGGATGAATTCTCGTTATGGAATGACAATGAAGCGAATTGAAGCTGATATCGTGCATTCGCGACAGGTTGAAACGGTTTCGATGTGCGGCAGTAGCGAATTTAGCAGCTGTTCTCAGAGCAGACCTCGACCATAGACTCGGTTAACGCAGCGCATTAATTAACTTCACGTACAGTGAGGGGAGTCTTGAATAGACGAACTCGCGTGTTCCTTTTATTTTGTAACTAGTTTCTCAGTCCATTGAATTTGTTAATTTTTTCCTTATTTAGATTGATTAATCGCATTTTCCGAGGAATCCGCCCATTAGTAAAACCGTAAATACGTTATTCCAATGAATTGCATGTTTAACTTGCACAAATAACTGTGGTAAACGTAAGGGTTACGAGGCACACATACGAGCTAAGCTAATACGCGAGAGACGACGCTAAACATCATTTGAGCCGATGTGGAGGGGAGGGGGTGGGGGAATACGATGGCGATTCTACGAACTTAATCCTCAAAGTGTGGCACAAAACTATCACTGGTCACTGCAGCAGCCACCACCATCCAAGAGCAGATCGATAATATGCCATCAGACACGGCGCTGTTGGTCTCTCTATCTTATGCTCGGCTACAGCAACGCCAAAAGTGGATCTGCAAGCACGGCCAACACAAACACTTTACCCCCGGGCCTTGTCGATGGGGGAGGGAAAAATGACTTGAAATTATGCATTCATCCAAGTTCTGTCAAGTGGTCTGGTCCGCAGAGCCGACCCCCCACACGAAAAGCCACGGATGCCAAGACCGAGGAAAAGATCAATACTCGTGCCCCCCCCCCCCTCCTTTCTCTCGCAGGCGGAGACGACTTCTCCAAACGGCAAAGTTGTGCTAGTTCTGGCAAGTGGTCTGGTCCGCAGAGCCGACCCCCCACACGAAAAGCCACGGATGCCAAGACCGAGGAAAAGATCAATACTCGTGCCCCCCCCCCCTCCTTTCTCTCGCAGGCGGAGACGACTTCTCCAAACGGCAAAGTTGTGCTCCTCGAGGACGACGCTCAGATAGTGATCTCAATACAGAGCTCGGGTGATCCGAATCAGCACAAAACAGATAACGTAAAACTGGCAGCGACACGTCCGGCAACTTAAGAGAGTTTAAAACCTCAACAAATAAACAGAAATAAAAAATATATCAATCAGCTGTTTCGACCAAAACTAACTTAACGCAGAAGAAGAAAAAAGCCATTGATGGCCACCTTTAGTCCACTAATTTAGTTCAACTGCCCTAAACTACCTTTCAACACGACGAAGAGGGTAAACATGTCCCTTTAACCGCCCCCCACCACCACCACCCCCCTCCCGGCTACGAGCCCGAAAGGTCATCGGTCCGAGGGAGGATTTGTACAAACACGCGACTCTTCTTCTTCCGTCTCCACCGGCCTTTACGCAGCAGCGACGACTCGAGTCCCCGAGATCAATACAACACGCGCTTGAGCGCTGAGCTGCCCTCGGCAGCACGCCTCGTAACAGTAGGATGCTCCTTGCAACTGTCTCGCGTGGTGGTCAGACGACCGGCTACTGGATTCGATCTCTCCCGGAAGGTCATCATTTCAGTTTACAGCCCATAAACAGCGGCATCGGTTTAAACATTTTTTTATTTATTTTTTCAAATTTTATTTTTAGCTGACGCTCATCCGGGGAACTTGAAAGAATGACTGGTATTTAACTCAGATTTAATACTACGCCGGGGTACAACTACGACCGTAACGTAAATACAGTGAGCCACATTCACGAGATTCATTTAATAGGGTCAGTGGGAGTCAAAACAAAAATGACAGAAAGGTATCATGTGATGATGAACAACAGTGTTTCAGAAGGGATCTCAAACACGTGGCTTCTATCAAATCCTCATTTAGATATTTTTTTTAATGCCGTGCGTTTCTGCACGTGATAAAATGTCGTGTGGTTGTGAGTGTCACGTGGTTGTGAGTGTCACGTGGTTGTGAGTGTCACGTGGTTGTGAGTGTCACGTGGTTGTGAGTCTCACGTGGTTATGAGTGTGGTTGTGTGTCGTGTGGTTGTGTGTCGTGTGGTTGTGTGTCGTGTGGTTGTGTGTTGTGTGGTTGTGAGTGTCACTTGGTTGTATCGTGTGGTTGTGTCACGTGGTTGTGAGTGTCACGTGATTGTGAGTTTCGTGTAGTTGTGTCTTGTGGTTGTGTGTCGCATGGATGTGAGTGTCGTGTGGTTGTGAGTGTCCAATACATGGGGACAAAAATCCCCCCCCCCCCCAGGGGTTAGTAACGATCGGGGGTTTAAAACGACAGCAACAAAAAACGAAAGGCGTGGGAGTTATCTTTTCAAAGATTAGTAAAGGTGTAGGGGGGGCGCCCTCAAATCGATACGCAAGTAACAAAGAAATCGCGTGGACATATACCAGCCCCGTCAACTGACCAGTGTCTCCCCATCTCTGTATGAGGTGTTCTTTGTCTATCTGTATTCTGTATGAGTTGTTCTTTGTCTTTCGGTATGAGGTATTCATTGACGTTCTATGAGGTATTCATTGTTCTATTATGAGGTATTCATTGTCTTTCTATATGAGGTATTCAATGTTCTAAATGAGGTATTCATTGTCGTTCTATATAAGGTATTAATTGTCTTTCTGTATGAGGTGTTCTTTGTCTTTCTGTATGAGGTATTCATTGTCTTTCTAAATGAGGTATTCATTATCGTTCTAGATGAGGTATCCAATGTCGTGCTATATAAGGTATTAATTGTCTTTCTATATGAGGTATTCTTTGTCTTTATCATCATTCCCCCTCCCCCCTACGTTCACATTGCAACTCGTTTGACATTTATTCTTTGCTCTCCTGTATTGTTGCTATGTATCCATTTTCTTGAAAAATCGATCACATTATTGAATTTAAAATCAAAACAAGGTGTCGTTGTTCGAAATATTTATTGGAACTTATCTCCCTTGTTAAACCGTTGGTTCATCTGAGTTTATCCAGCAGACGTGTTAGAATCCCACGAGTTAGTTGCACACGACACGCCGTCGGTCTGAATCAACAAATGATTAATAAGGGCTCAGATTTCAGCTTGTGTTCCATTGGAACGTCAACATGGGTGCACGCACGGATACAAACATAAATACAAATAAAGCAGGATGCATGCTTTGTTTCTCTCTCTCTCTCTCTCTCTCTCTCTCTCTNGTGCACGCGCGCATACACACATATATACAAATAAAGCAGGATGCATGCTTTGTTTCTCTCTCTCTCTCTCTCTCTCTCTCTCTCTCTCTCTCTCTCTCTCTCTCTCTCTCTCTTTCTCTCTTCTTCCTCTCTACTCCCTTTTTTTTTATAACAACTAGTATCTGAGGTAGGACGGGTGGCTTTGTTAAAAAGCTTGCTCTGAATTTAAAAGGAACAAATAAGTTAAGGTCGGCAACTTTTAAAATACATTCATGAAAGGAAACTACTCAATAACAATAAAAATATATTCAAGGCGACATTTCGCACACAGAGTTGGGCTAAAACTTGATATAATGACCTGGAATCAAATGACACAAATTTCACTTCTCAATATGGGGGATGAAGAAGTCATCCAGTCGGGATATAAAACTCGTATTGTCATTTGGCCTCTTACAGGGCTCTGTGGGTTTGGCCTCTTACAGGGCTCTGTGGGTTTGGCCTCTTACAGGGCTGTAGGCTTGGCCTCTTACAGGGCTGTAGGCTGTAGGTTTGGCTTATTACAGGGCTGTAGGCTGTAGGTTTGGCCTATTACAGGGCTCTGTGGGTTTGGCCTCTTACAGGGCTGTAGGCTGTAGGTTTGGCCTATTACAGGGCTGTAGGCTGTAGGTTTGGCCTATTACAGGGCTGTAGGCTGTAGGTTTGGCCTATTACAGGGCTGTAGGCTGTAGGTTTGGCCTATTACAGGGCTGTAGGGAGAATCATATGCACTCAAATGTTTGGAGTTTGGCATTAGCCTAACACCGCGTAGGTCAGACCTAGGGTCAAAAATTCATTAGGCCTGTGGCCTGCGTCAACTAATGTCTGTCAATTACAGATGTCAGCTCGTGTTCTGCAAACACAGGGGAGGACAGGATGTGGCCTGCCTGACACGCTCAGCAATGTGAGTGCTTGGGGGGGGGGGGGGGGTCATGCCATGGTACGGCGTTCACACTGCCATGGTACGGCGTTCACGCTGCCAAGGTACGGCGTTCCCACTGCCAGGGTACTGTCCAATACATGGGGACAAAAATCCCCCCCCCCCCAGGGGTTAGTAACGATCGGTGGTTTAAAACGACAGCAACAAAAAACGAAAGGCGTGGGAGTTATCTTTTCAAAGATTAGTAAAGGTGGAGGGGGGGCGCCCTCAAATCGATACGCAAGTAACAAAGAAATCGCGTGGACATATACCAGCCCCGTCAACTGACCAGTGTCTCCCCATCTCTGTATGAGGTGTTCTTTGTCTATCTGTATTCTGTATGAGTTGTTCTTTGTCTTTCGGTATGAGGTATTCATTGACGTTCTATGAGGTATTCATTGTTCTATTATGAGGTATTCATTGTCTTTCTATATGAGGTATTCAATGTTCTAAATGAGGTATTCATTGTCGTTCTATATAAGGTATTAATTGTCTTTCTGTATGAGGTGTTCTTTGTCTTTCTGTATGAGGTATTCATTGTCTTTCTAAATGAGGTATTCATTATCGTTCTAGATGAGGTATCCAATGTCGTGCTATATAAGGTATTAATTGTCTTTCTATATGAGGTATTCTTTGTCTTTATCATCATTCCCCCTCCCCCCTACGTTCACATTGCAACTCGTTTGACATTTATTCTTTGCTCTCCTGTATTGTTGCTATGTATCCATTTTCTTGAAAAATCGATCACATTATTGAATTTAAAATCAAAACAAGGTGTCGTTGTTCGAAATATTTATTGGAACTTATCTCCCTTGTTAAACCGTTGGTTCATCTGAGTTTATCCAGCAGACGTGTTAGAATCCCACGAGTTAGTTGCACACGACACGCCGTCGGTCTGAATCAACAAATGATTAATAAGGGCTCAGATTTCAGCTTGTGTTCCATTGGAACGTCAACATGGGTGCACGCACGGATACAAACATAAATACAAATAAAGCAGGATGCATGCTTTGTTTCTCTCTCTCTCTCTCTCTCTCTCTCTCTCTCTCTCTCTCTCTCTCTCTCTCTCTTTCTCTCTTCTTCCTCTCTACTCCCTTTTTTTTTATAACAACTAGTATCTGAGGTAGGACGGGTGGCTTTGTTAAAAAGCTTGCTCTGAATTTAAAAGGAACAAATAAGTTAAGGTCGGCAACTTTTAAAATACATTCATGAAAGGAAACTACTCAATAACAATAAAAATATATTCAAGGCGACATTTCGCACACAGAGTTGGGCTAAAACTTGATATAATGACCTGGA